ACATAAATCACACATAAATTAATTTTATTACATTTTGATTTGGATACTATATACTATACTACTACATATTGTTTAGATATTATCAATGGCTACTTTTTTGTCTTTATCTGTTTTTTGTAAAAAAATGTTGTTGTTTTTTCTTGAAACATTGATTTAAAGTGTCAGTTATTGCATTATTATTTCAGTCAAACCTATAAAACCCCTTTGTTACCCCAAACTACATTTAAAAGCTTTATCAGTGGCATAAAAGTAACCAATGCAGCTACTTAATCATTTGCTACTCATTAACGCGTTAACGTCCCCTTTAAATAACGTGACGCTCTGCCCTCTATGACGCTGCTCCCATTAAGCGCTGTTGGAAGTGAATGAATTGATTCAGCATTTCGACACCTCCATAAGGATGCATTTAACTCGACAAAGCGGTCTAATAAAGGATGTATTGATCTCGTGAATTAGCGAATTTTACTATACAAATATTTTTTAATTGGATGTTAAAGTTTATATGGGAATATTACATGACACGCTGATCCTTTAACAATGCATCGCCGCAAAAAACGCACACCTTTTGTACAAATCTGCCACAAATATTTGGACAAATGTGCCACAAAAACTGCCTAAACAAAATACTGATTTTGTGCACTTTATTTACTGTACCAATATTTTAAATTGGCCTTTGAACTTAGCTTTATTGCATGGTAAAAAAAAAGTGTTACCTTACCAAAGCACTGACAGAGCCCACTGATCTAACGGCGTTGTTGAGCGCTCCAAATGCAAACTTTGCATGCAACAATCGGGCAGCACTTGACAGCACTCTGATCCAGTGGCATACAGGCCTCGTCAGATTGACAGTACTCTAGCCCAATAATGTTGGGGGATCCAGTGGGGGCGGCAGTCATATTTCAGGGTGACCGTGCCACTCTTTATCACAACCCTGCTAAAAGTGCCAGTACGTGCGCTCATTGGCGCCCCTTCAGCTGGTGGCGCCCTAGGTGACCGCCTAGCTCACCTATTCCTAGAAACGGCCCTGTGTGTGTGCGCGTGATTGTGTGTGTGCGTGCGTGAGTGAGTAAGTGAGGGAGTGTGTGTGAGAGTGAGTGTGTGTGTGTGTGTGTGTGTGTGTGTGTGTCACCTCTGTTCTCCATGATGAATGGACAGTATGACCCCAGAGTTGAGTTTCTCCTGTTTGAGCGTCAGTGCGATGGTGAACTCGCTCTTTCCTCTGAGTTTCTGCAGCATGCGGCCCGCTGCGTCGTCTGGGACCCTCACGCTCCGGGACGAGCCTGCGGAGAGGCAATCCATTAACATTTCACACGGACACAGAGACGATCACAGGACGAGTACGCTCCGCTCGTGTCTTCTAGTGAAGGTAGAGATGAACCGCAGCGTGTTCACCATCAGTTATGACCAAACAAATCAATCCATTAACATATATGAAAGCCTGGGGGAAAACACAACGTTCATGTTTGAGTGCATGAGCAGCGAGACTGCTGGACACTGCAGACGTTAGCTGGTCTGGTTTTACAGGGGTTTTGGGCTCTTTCCAGCTGGCTAAGACCGGTTTAAACCAGCTCAGACCAGCTCAGGCAGGTGTTCTCAGCAGGGATTCAAGGAAAACAACTGAAAATCTTAGAGATGCACAATTATATCAAAGCAGTAAAGTGTGGAAATGCTTCCAAGTCCTGTAGAAATTATTGTATTTATGAGTTGAATGCAAATGAACTACATCATGCACAAGAATAGGAAAATGAGAAAGTAAGTATTAAATATGAAACACAGTAATATATTCAAATAAATAAATGTCAAATACATAAATAAATATTAGACATTTATATGATTATATATTTACATAAAATATTACATTTTATATATATGAAGAGTTTATTTGCAAAAACAGATAACGCTGTTTTTTTTTTCATTTTCAAAAATCATGTTTTTTTTTTATGTTATCATGTTTTTATTGTTTTACTGTGTTAGCTAGCTGTATTTTATTTATTTATTTTTGTTATTTTTACTTAATCAAAACAACCCAACTCCCACCCCGCCAGTTTGATTGAGATTAATTGGAATGCACAATGAAAAAACATGATTTTTGAAAAGAGTTATCTGTTTTTGCAAATTAACTCTTCACATACATATGTATATATATACTTTCATATTTATCCCATATTACATATATCACACATTACATCAGTCAATCAGCTAATGTGCATCTTCTGAGCATCATTCGGTTGCATCCTATCCTATTTGTCTTTGCATAAAATGAAACCTAAAATTGTTTTATCTGTGTATTTTTTATGTGTCGACCCAAAATCACTTCCATAATTTCCCCACAAAGTCTTGAGGGCAACATAAGCAGCTCATTCCTGTCAGTTAACGGCAAAACGCTTTGAGATGGCGTTATCTGGTGCAGAGTGGTTTGAGTAATATTACGAGATGTGAATGTCTGCGTCGAGTCAAAGTGGATTATATGGATGTTGATGACAGCATCGGTTATTAATAATCTCCAGACTGACACACACACGACACGATGAGTGAATCTGAGCACGGAAAACGAGAGGTTTCTTACGCTTGATTCCTCCCAGCAAACAGCTCTTCCTCCTCCTCCTCCTCCTCCTCCTCCTCCTCCTCCTCCTCCGATCACATCAAAGCCAGTGACACAGTTACAGGACTCCTGCAGCAGCCAGTAATGAAGACACGTGGGCATCCTCCAAAAAAGCCAATCGATCAACCTCCAGCGACTGAGGAAAGACCAGTTAACAGATCCGGCTTCAGTCTGCCGTTTAATTAGTCACTGTCTCGTTTTCACTTCAGAACTGAACCGCGCTTCTCGCATTCTGTCCCTCATGAAAGGAAGTTTCGGGGAATTTCTGCAACCGCAACTCTTTTAATGCATCAATGTTTCAATTAATAGGGTAATACTTTATTTTAAGGTGTCCTTGCTACACGTTACATGTAATTACTATTATAATAACAATTATACAATGCATAATTACATGCAAGTAACTCTAATCCTAACCATATAGCAAGTACACATAGTTAATTCATATTACTCAGTACTTAAATGTATAATTACACTGTAACAAAGACACCTTAAAATAAAGTGGAAGCAAATATAGTTACATTATATATTTAATATTTACATAATTATATTTATGTAAAAATTAGTGCTGAGCAACGATTAATCGCGATTAATCGCATCCACAATAAGAGTTTTTGTTTATATATGTGTGTGTATTGTGTTTATTTATTATGCATATGTAAAGACACACATATAGTATATATTTAATTATATATATATTTACATGCATATATTTATATTCATATAATTTATATTATAAATATATTTAATATATAAACATAATATATTTTTCTGAAATATATACATGCATGTGTGTGTGTTTATATATGCATAATAAATATACACAGTACACACACATATATTATGTAAACAAAAACTTTTATTTTGGATGCGATTAATCATTGCCCAGCACTAGTAAAAATATATATTTTTTACATTATATAATCACACACAATATATTTGCATAAATATATAATTATAATTTATATAATTAATTATAATATAATTTTTGTTACATACATTTCCCAAATAATTTTGGGATGTGATTCATTATATGTTTACATTATATATTGTCAAAAATGTATTTTAAGATTGGCATTTTCATTTGTATTTTATATTGCATTTTCAGGTCCCCTAAAGTAAATTTTGTAATATTTTTGGCATATGAAGTTTAACTGAATATTTGAAAAATTATATATATATATATTATATAAGAGCAAAAACCTTTTCCTTTCCCATGTGGCAAAATATTGAAAAAAATAAAAAAGTTATATATATAATTTTTTTTTTTCTCTCATATTTTTCCATATGGGAAAGGAAAATGTTTTTGCTCTTTCATAGCTCTGAAGATCTCAATTACGTTTAATTTAAGCATCAGCAGATGTTTCTTCTAAAAGTCCTCATTAGAAACAAAAACAGACCCAAATGAGTCACTAGTCGTCATCCATCCAAGAAAAATAATTTTCTGAAATATTAATCAAAATTAAGTGAGTTTTTGCTGAAAATAAGAAGAAAAAAAATACCTGCCATTTGGGGTCAGAAAAATAAACATAATTCAAAGGGGGAAAAAGTTTATTTTCTGACCCCAATGGAAGACATTTTTCTAAACAAAATTTTGATTCTTTTTTCAAAAAATAAGACTTAATATCTTCGGTCATTTTGGTTCTCGGGTAAATGTTTCTTGATTGAAGAATGTTTAGATATTTGTACTGGAAAAGTCAAAATCATCTTTAGAAGCTCGTTCTAGAGGAGAAACAGGTGCGCTTGCAGAAGCATCTGAGAAGCCTGAGACTCCAGCAAGTCTCCTTTTAATCTCGTTAGATGTCATTTGTGAATTTCTTTCATGCAAAGCCCTGTCAAAGGCAGAATTTGTTGCGAGAGTTCTTTTGCAGGACATGAACGTCACTTACAGGAAATGTTGAGTGTCCGCCTGCAGCGAAACCATTTGGAAACATACTCCAAACAGAAATGTGGCCAGATATAAACAAATTACTAGCGTTTTTTAAGCAGCAGTCCATCCAAAAATGAAAATCCCTGACTCACTCCCACATCGCTCCGAACCCACTTCACTTTCTTTCTTTAGTGGAGAACAAAAGAAGAGACATTGGCATGTTTAACTGAATTAGACCTTGAATGGCTTGTTATAAATTGAGAAGTCATGATGGCTATTTTGTCCGTTTCATGACTCAAGTGTTTTTTAATGTGAAGCTGTTTTTGTATTTTTGTCAGATACATCATTCAGTCATATGAATTATCTTATCTTTTGATTTGTATCCAATAAGATTCAAATAAACAAGGAAATAATCTAAAATCATTTCATTTCTAGAAAATCTATGTTGTGATTCATACAATTTTTATTTTTTTTACTGCCAACCTTAATTTAGCAAAAATAGACACGTTTATTTAATTTACTTTATTTACATTTATGCATTCAACCAAAAAAAAAAAATGTAGATTTGAAATTTAGCCAGGATAAATATATATATATGCCATTTAGCCTGATTTTTAAAGATATATTAAAGATATGTACATTAAGATAATGATTCATTTGTCATTTGTAAAAAATAATAATAATAATAATAATAATAAAAAATCAATAAAAAATAAACATAATAATAATAATAGTCACATGTTTATTTAGTTTAATTTTAGAGTGTAAAATAAATATTTTAAATAGAAAATAAATATTTTTAGCATTTAGCCAGAATTTTTCTTAAAAGATCGATATGTTAAGATAATAATTAATTTGTAAATATATATATATATATATTAATCATTATCTTAATATATTTCTCCTAAACAATCTAGCTAAATGGCAAATGCCAAATACCAAAAAAACTAAAACAAAAAAGCCTAATGCATAAATGTAATTTTAATTTATTTTATATATATATATACTGTATATATATATATATATATATATATATGCATTTAACCAGATTGTTTTTTAAAGATTATAAAATTATTAATGTTAATACATTAAAAAAAATATATATATATATAAATTAAAATTACATTTATGCATTTATGCTTTTTTTTGTTTATTTGTTTTGGTATTTGGCATTTAGCTAGATTTTTAGGAGAAATATGTTAAGATAATGATTAATTTGTAAAACTAGTCACATGTAAAAAAAATTTGGATTTAAACAATTTTTTACAGATACATTAAGATAATGAATACATGATGAAGATAATGCTTATATGAAGCTCTGAAGTCCATCCTGAGACATCTTCAAACAGAGGAGCTGCAGGATGATGATGATGATGATGATGATTTGAAGCGGAGTGAGTGAAAGTGGCGTGTTTGAGTCGCGGCGGTTGCCCTTTGATTCCCAGCAGGACTGTGCGTCCCGCTCCAGAAAGCCTCTCAGGCCTGATGAAAGGCTCTCGGTGGGAAGAGCTTTGATGGTCGGGATCTCCTCGGCTGTCTGACCCAAGCGTCTCCATGGAAACAGCTCTTCCGTCCGGCTCGCCCCGCAGGCGGACGCCCCATGAGTCCCAATGCAGCTCATCCTCCATCGACCAGGAGACGCTGCAGCGAGCAGACGCTGCCCACAACAAAGCCAGGCCGCGATTTCACAAAAATTAACTCACTCGCTCTCATTAATATCTTTTTAAATGTTATTACGGAGGTCGAATAGGCTATGGTCAAAGCATCACATTATGCAAATACACTTGAATTTTATTTTTTAATTAATTAAT